TGCCAGGACACTAACCGACTTCTTCTCATATTTCTATTTCAGCAGCAGTGCACAGAATGGCTATAGTGGGAGCAGTAGGCCTAAGCCGCAGCGAGACAGTAATGCGTCCATTCCCACTGCCAAACAGGAGACTGATGGAAATACTTTTTCGAGAAGAACATCAAGGGAACAGACATCAATTCCAACGAAGCCAGGCAGAAATAGCACGGCCTCAGAAGATTCTGCGGGGTGAGTTCATTATTGAATGATAAATCGGCGCAATCTCATGATAATTTTTTACAGGTCACCCACAAAACAGAACTGCCAAAACACAATCGAAATCAAGCAAGAAATTAGGAAATCTCCGCTAGCTAAACTTCGAAATCCGTTACGAAAATTGATGCACAGAGGACAAGCGAAAAAATCTGGTGGTGCATACGAGAAGCGACTATCCCTAGAAATCAAAGCAGCAAAGACAGTCGCTATTGTCACTGGCTGCTTCATATTCTGTTGGCTGGGATTCTCACTACTCTATGGATTGGAACTGCAGACAAACGATGTCATTTGGTCCGTATTATTCTGGCTGGGATATCTGAACTCAGCTCTGAATCCTGTGATCTACACCGTATTCAATCGAGAATTCCGAACATGCTTCAAGCGATTACTTACTTGCCATCATCTCAACCATCCAAATACAAATAAGGTAAGAGATATACAGATTGTATCGCTACAAACTTACTGCTACCAAGTGAAAAGATAGAACTGATAAGAGGGTGACACAGATAATTAGCCATTGCTTGCATATTTTTTTAAACCCTATCTCTCTCAAAAATGTACTGTTTCAGTATGCAACGAACTCGTGCAATTCGAATATTCGCCCTGGAGTTACCAAAAACTACCGAGCAGCTTCCTCTCCTCCACATATGAACATCCCAACTGGAGTCGCGAAAAAGCCCTCTTTTAGCAAATAGAGGCACAACTATGATCTGATACTTCAACCGGTACATCTGCCAATTATCTCACTAACGACTATGGCTAATACGAAATCTTTTTTTCTTGCTTTTTTATGTCTTAAATTCTGAGTTGTCAATGGTAAGCATATAAAAACGGGTTAGAGGTTCCGGTCTCGATCTCTACACAGCAGAGATGACTGTTTCTTCTTTTGTAATGTATACTATGAATAAATCGTTCGATGAAGCTTTAAATACAAGCTACACCAGTCAGTGAGCATAGCATGAAAACAATTTGAAAAAAATGGTGATCATTGTTTGTCTTTTTTATCTGCCCGTCGGGGAAACGGGAAGGTAAAATTATTTCAAATACGATGTAATTTTGATGAGTAAATGACCAGAGCAGAGCAAGGAGTATTTAAAAAGTAGGTAGGCAGTTGCACTTTCGAAAAAGTTGATCCCAGTTCATGACGTTCACGAGCAGTTTTTTTTTTGCAGTAAAAGTTCTGTAGAAAGTCTTCTAGGGCAGTGTCAAGTGGTAGATACGATACGATAAACGAGATTCGATGCATGCAAAATGTCGTAAAAATCAACATTTTTCGCTAGAAAAAACCGTTGCTGAGCAAATAATTTAGAAGAGCCATTAAACGATGAAACTTTCTCACCAAAACAAATATTTTCGAACTATAAAAATGCCCTAAAATCGCGAAACAGGAGGCAAAAATGGACTTCATGGAACAAATTCTCAAAAAAGACACATCGAGAAAAAAGAAGTGCGCAGATGCTTACCGAGACCTTCGCGGGCTTCAAAGAGTTAGAATTTGCACAGCTGATCTCCTCAGGCGTTGAACAAATCGTAGGTCACTATGACAAATTGCAGGTTACTACGATCTACGTTCTCACCATTTGCTGTCGAAACGAAAGAATTTCATTAAAAAGTGATCACTTTGTTCATTCCTTTGACTAATTACTAATTCAAACTGACGAATACCACAAGAAATAAATAACTTGAGTGGTGATGCTGAGAAAAATGTTATTTTGAAAAAACGTCAAAATATCGATCTGATTGAAGAAGGAAGTACTTTTTGACGAAATACTCTGGATTAATAACGCTAAGAAAAGACAATAAGGAGGAGAAGGAAAACAAGAGGTCGTTTTGAAAATCCCTCTGCTTGGATAGAAAAATGAATAACAATAAAATGCATGATTTTTACCATGAAAAAGAAATGAGAACATACCCTATTTTCACATTTGGCCAGCAACTTTTTCTTTCCAAACTCGTACAGCCTCAAACGATTAGACATTCCTATCAGAGCGGAGCCGCGGAAGTCGTGTATTGCATTCACAGGCTAGAATTACAAAGTTCAGATGAAGTGTTGTCGGATATAGGTTTCAGCTTACATATGGTGTGTCGGTCCGGTGGATGAGATCAAAACGGTCACCGCCAGGGGCCAAAAGGAACGTGTAGATGCAGCCACGAAGGCTTTTCGCCACCTAAACGATTATTTCTCCGTAACTGTTGTGGCCCATATCTGAATACCTCAGGCAGTTTTTGACTGATAGTACATC